ATAAACAAAATTGAAAAGAGATCGCAATACATCGTACGTTTATCGTGTATATATAATATATATATATATATATATATATATATACGCGAGAAGTTCTTAAGGATACAATTTAATACGTCAAACAATATTAGAGGTTTGTGGTGAAGTTAGGTATGCGTGATTTGTGTGTGTGCATGCAAAATCGATGCAGCAATAACACAAATCGCAATTGCGTTGCACAAGCGACAGCGTAAAATAGTCGCGTTATCAGCATACCGGGGTGAATTAACTTAACTCCGCTATGCCTGACACGGCTGACTACACGAGTTCCAGTTCCATGCCCGCTACAATCGCAATTCCTCGTCATCGTTAATGTCGTCGGCATCTCTGCCGACGTAACACCCGATGTCTCGACAATATTGATAATAGATCGGAAAATATGGCCCACCTTGTCCTCGCTGGAGGCACTACAGAATATTTTGAAACTGTTACACTCTTCTCCTTATATTTTTTCATTCATCTTTTTCTTGATATAAATATCAATCACATATGTGATTGTTATTGAGAAATTTATATTATAATTTATTTATATATTATTTTATAAGGATAGTTCTACAATTTGTATTATCTGCAGAAATATATATTTGTATATTGCAAATATTTATTAATTCTACAATGAGATGAATAATGCTTTATATATTAAATCGCGTGATAATGGCATACAAATTTTACATAATTTTTTATGTTTCATGCAAAAAAATCGCATCGGAAAGGTCATTGGCCTGTAGAGATCGGAATTTTGCAGGCGCAATTATTTGTCTTGCAATATTGGCGGTCGTGACTTTATTTCAAAATCACGTTCGAAGTTGAATTACATTTTTCCCAGATGAAATAGAACCGTCTCTATGGACACATCGTGTACAATCCATAAAATTGGGACTACGAATTTTATTTTAATTTTCCATAACTTTATGGAAGCGTGACGAATTTCGAAAGTATAAATCGGCGAAGAATTTGCAACCGAACCGGCTTGTACTAACAGAGCGTTGAACAATGTGAGAAAAAACTATGCAATTTCTATGTATCTTCAATATTTCTATTTTATATATAATCTTAACCACATAGATACATACATATATGAATTTTTATATTTTATTTAGAAATAATATTTTACAAGGAATAAAAAGAAAAAATTTTCTCCCCCCCCCCCCCAAAGCTTCGCGAAGAATGCGAAATATAATTAATTCTTTGTTGAACGAAATTAAAAGTATAAATTATATTCTTCTGGCGAATTAAATTTACTGTATATGTACTTTAACAGTGCGTTGCCGCCAGTTACGCAAAAAATTAAGTTACTTGAATTTTTTACTATATTATTTTTGACTCTTGGATCCAATTTCGTATGTATGTCGGTAAAATTAAATTCGATTAAAATATCTTCTGCTTTAAATCAGAGGTCGAAATGAATTCCTTAAGTACTTTCTAACTGCGATACAAAAGGATTTATGATGTAGTTATTGGCGAATGATATTGCGCGAATGTCGCGTAACGATGAAGCTCCTCGTTCTAAGAAATGAAAGCAAAGGGAGCAAACCGTCATTAAAGCGCCAGCAAGAGAGCAATCTAACGACGTAGAGCTACCCGGACTTCTCTCGGATGGAAATTTGCCTGAATAATGCATTTTTTTGCCGCTTTACATTCGGTGACTGTTCTAACCGACGCACACGACTGTCGATTTTCTTAGAGAGGAATATTTTACCAAATGCACAGAACATGCTCTATGTGTCTCTTTGTTTTATTTTAGAAAAGTCATTCCTTACTTTATCTTTTTAGGATGTTTTTTTTTTTTTTTATTTAAATATAATCTTTCTAAAAAATAATTATTTTTTTGTATATATGTAACACCATTTTTGCCCTTTTCGCAATGAATAATTTGATGAGAATATCAACTATTAGAATGTTAAAATTGAGTGGCTGCTATTGTGAGAAAATTTCAGAATCCTAGACAGTTAATTGGTATGTCCAACAAATTCCTTGAACTTAACATTTTAAGATGTTCAAGCAAAGGAAGATATTGAGATAAGAGCCAAACAAAACCATACACAATATTGTGACGAATTTACATATGCATTGTTATGCTACCTGGAAATGTTATTTCTCCGCAATAATATGCAAAACATAATGTCGGTTGCCACCATTTCTGCATTCGTGGAAACCACGCTCAAACATCATTCGTGCTCGTTGCATTGTTAGGAAAACTGCAGGTTCGTGATAGGCCGTAGGAGTGAATAGGTCCGGGGAAAAGTGATTTTACACACCGAGAATAAGTTGCTTTCTCATTGGCCAATTCCAATGCAGCACTCCCACGTTGCAACCACGAGATGTTCAAGAATGATCGTGGCGGAAATTAGAGGTGGCTTCCAGCCAAAGACGTCATTTCGCGCGCATAAAACACTTTAGTCAATAACTGCCAGTGACTAATTAAAAAAATAATGACTGCGATAATTATTCATAATGAAAAGTACTAAATTAATAATATAAAAATTGTTAAAATAACAATATTTATATTTGTATTAACAATTAGAAGTTTTGATTACAATGTGAAGTATTCTTTTAAGTTCTTTATTTTTTCGCACATATATGGGCAATATTTTATTTTTTTTTTAAATTGGTGTATTTTTATTTATTTAATTTTATTTCTTAAAAGATGGAATTTATTAAAGGAAAATTTTTAACATTCCATAATAATTGAACTTTGTAAAAGACCTTAATTAATTGTAAACATTTTTTATCGTATCATTTCATATCCTGTCCGTCAAAGACTAATGCACTGATCTAATTTATAAAGTATACAGGTCGAATCAAATGCTGCGACTGATCAGAAAATTATCCTTATTTATTCACATTTTGGTTCGTCTCATTTGCAATTCGATTCGAGGCACTGTCCGATATAGCGTGTGTAGCTTTATTAAAAAAAAACATTCTTTGATGACGAATTTTTAAGTTTCGAAGAAATGCTGCGAGTTTTCTTCAACAAGTGTTTACTACTCGAGGTTTAGCTCGACCGGATGAATAGCGTGATTAGTCGCAAAAAAATTTGATTTGAAACTTGGCTTGATAATGTGAACGCATAATCAATTGCGATCATTGATGTTAAGACTATAAATATATCTAAATCATTTAATATCTAAACCATCCAAAACAATTACCAATTGTTATTATTCAAATATTTGAATATCCGATTAAATTGGATAATTATTTTAAGAGTTAAATCTATCTAAGTTTGCGAATTATTTTAATCTGTATTCAAATTATTTACCATAGAAAATTGAATAAGAAAATAATTACAAAAGATATTATATATAAAAATTATGTATGATAAAACAGTAGCTAAGAAATAAAAATTATTTTCTGTGTGTTTTATAATCAGACAATGAAAATAAATAAATCTCATTCGAACTCTTTAGCACATTAAGTGTTTTTTTGCGACTGTAAATATTGTTAATAAAATAACGATATAAATTCTATGATTTAGATGAAAATCTATGATTTAAAACAAAGCGTGAAAATCAATTAATACACAACTTTTAATAATCAATAGTTTTCTTTACAAAAATCTACATATTCAATAACTAGTTTTATTTTTTTCCTCGCTGGAATTTTAAACACACATTTAATTTTGCTATGTAATTACAAAGTATGCAAAAAGATAATACGAAATATTTCTTATATATTTGCATAGCTTTAATTCAAATTAACAAATTTGGAAGTTGAAATAAATTTGATTGTTCAAACATTAAAATTTTGGATATATGTTCAATTTTTAAATAAATGGATAATTACTTCATATAATTCGATTATTTCAATATCATCAAAATCCACATCCTATTTATATTCTAGGTCGTACATATAGTTAATACCTTCTTTATTCCATTGCTTGTTTCTGATATGAGGATCACTTTTTGAGATAGTCGATCCGCGTCCGTGATTTTCCATTGGTGCCATGCTGCATACATTCTTCTTATTGCGACTATCTGAACGCCGACACTATGTAGATTGTTCACAATATTTTGCACATATTTCCAACGACGTTAAAACTACTTAATCATCAATTTTAAACACGTGTATATTAAGAAACTGCTATAGTAACTTCATCACCTGATCTTGATACTCAGCGCATCAATTTGCATACGTGTTAGTGATTGATATCGATCGATATCTGGTATTTCTACAAAGAGACTTTTGCGAAAACAGATTTTACGATATTTTATATACATATATTTTACGATATGTAAATTTTACAATACATATATAATATAATATATAAATTCGTTTCGGATTTATAATCGATAAACCGAATGATGCTACACGTCGACGAGAAAGACGAACTGGCATTCCTCACCTTAAAATCTCGACTAGACTGCATGACTGTTTTGAAGCAAATTATTGCTGCTTCTCTCAGCTACAGCCCATATATAGCTTTGTTCGTTGCTCATCTAAACCCACGCTGTCTCCCAATGGACTAGGTAAGCTGAGAGAGGTACCACCCTTATTTTAAGCTCCACCCTTCGCAGTGGGTCAGCCAGACCAGGGGCTCGACAATGTACACGCACGTGCAAACATTCATGTGTATAAGTTTTCTCGGCTTTCGAGGGAACGAGTTGAAGACCGAAAGATGATGATAATTTTGTGAACAGCACGGAATTTATAACGGAAGCAATTGTTGAAAATTATTAATCTCAAACGATCGATGTTACTAATACAAAAGAACAGCGACAGGAAAAATTTGAATTGCACACATTAACAAAAATGTTCCTATGATTTTCATGGAGTCCAATGTCAAGTATACAACAATATGCGGCTGAGAAGAGATTTTTATATTGAAAGTATATAAAATAAATGAAAGTTTTGATTGGAGGTTTTGATATCATGTATGATGCATATGAAAAGATGAAAATAACATATTTATAATACGAAGCGAGAAACTAATAAACTTTTAAAAAGGAATGCACTTTTATATGCATTACACAGGATATTTGAATATAAAATGACAATACACGTATTGCACACTTAGCATTGAAGATTGTGGAAAATATAAAAATGTTCTTGGTTATGCATGCAACGAGCAACTTTCTTTCTATTTTGTGAAAAAAATATTTTTTATTTTTTATTTTTTATCTTTATATTAAACGCACAATCAAATCTAACTTTCTTTGTTAATAATAGTCCGAAATAAGAAACAGAAACATATAAAATAAATTTTAACAAGAAAGGTGAAAGTGTCGAAATTTATCACACACATATGGTCTTTTCTCTCTTTTACCATCTTCTTCGTTTTGAATAATAGCCCGAAAGCAAGACATACTTGTCATATGTGCAATACGCCCTTGAGTGCAATATATCATATATAGTATCGTATTCTATAGAATACTGTAGGATATAACCCCTTTGAAAGGAATCTATAGATAAAATTATTTATTGACAGATATACTCTCACAACATACTCTGAAAAACACTTTCGCCGATCTTGTATCATCAAAAATGATCACAAAAGATAAATCTAGTAAAAAGCGGAGGTCAGTCGAAAGTAGAATAAAACTCTAAACCCTAAAATGCGATAGAACAATCTGGCCGCGGATGTTTTTCGTGCGACTACGCTTGCATGTTGTTTGATTTATGATCAGATATTTGCATGAAGGCGACGAAAGAAACGCTGGACTTCTGGGTGTACCATGTGTTTAGTAAATATTCGCCTTCGCGGAAGCGCAAACAATTCGCAGATTGCTTCCTATGCAAACCTGTGTTGAGGGATTTCCCAACACTTCCGCAGAGGTCCGTGATTTTTATTTAGAGTGTTTATTTTATTTCTAGTCCACCGGCTTAAGTAAAGATAAACGAAATAAGTCTGTAAATATAGTTGTGGCACTGTCACACTGTCACACTGTCACAATTGTAAAAATATTAATAACCGATCGACTTGAAAAGAAAAGAGAATATTTGTATTCTTTCACATGCATTTATTTTCTCTTTATTTTATTATTATTTATTAATTTTATTTTTTTGTATTGATTGTATTTTGAAGATAATAAAAATTTAGATGTACAATATTTTAATATAATTTGACATTTAAAAATTTTACATTGATTTAAATTTTGCAATTTTCCTAAAAACGCTTAAGAAAATATTGAAATTAATATTTGGATAATCCAAAATGCTTTGCATTACTTATTTTCGTCACTCATATTTTAGATATCATTAAATTCTATCAGTGTACAGCATGATACAATTTTTATAATGCACTCAAAAAACGGAAATTTATGTATTTTAATATATTAATTGGCACTCTTTTCGATAACGTTCTCAACGTTTATTCGTTTACTTATTCTTCGTTCATCAAAAACGCGGTCCATTCGCGGATTTTCACAGCTATTACATACCATTACGACTATAATCGATATCCACGGTATAGTAAGTAAGCGTGACGAGGGAGGATGGGGCAATCCAATTTGCGACCACTGGTCTGATCTGTCCCCGTCGTCCAATTAACGGATCTTTCTTCTAATCTCATGGATTCATTCCGGTCCATCGGGAAAATCGCGACCTTTTTGCTCGGATAAATGAGAAGCGAAAGAGGAACGACGTGGAAAGAATGACGTGCAATTATCTAGGCATGTCGATTGTACTATATGTACTATCGAAAATGCCAAATTGCAGTGTGTTGATAATCGATATTCGATAGATATTATCGTCCGATAACAAATATCGATACTATTGTATATTCTGAATAAACAAAAAATTCTGCACGAAGAAATAAATAAGCAGGGAAAAAATGCCTCGTCTATAGTTGCGTTTTAGCAAACTAATAAATTTTTCTTTAAATATTTATGCACATGTACAGAAAATATGTATTAAATCTCATCCGAGTATACAGATATGCTACACATTTTATATATAAAATGCAACCTCTAAAATAGAACACTTAGATACACTTCACTATTTTACTTCACTATTAATGCTAGGGCGAAAAAATAAAATTTGACCACAAATTTCATGAAAATGTTAGCGAAGCAGATCGAAAGACCATCGTATCATCTATTATTTTTATCTGAGCACTCTTCATTCACGCGGAGAAGGGAAGTGCGAAATGGCCACAAAGCAGTAATTTGTCCGACGGCGTAACCGTGTCGTGGAAAAACTTCCTTCTCCGGAATGGAAATGAGCGCGACAGGCATGCGTATATAGTACGCATCTCCGGTAGTTTTCGCGCAAATACGCGAGATATCTGTGTGCGAAACAGGCAGAGATAATATTTGCCGGGATTTGCACACGTGCCCGGCCGGCCGGACGTTATTTTCGTATCGTAATGCCTCTCTGTGCATCCTCCCCTCGCTCGTGGTACTCGCCGTACATACTATCCGTGAGAAATGACACATTTGCACGCATATGATTTCGCGACGCACGCGTTATATTGCGCGTGTACAGGAAAAAATGCCTCGTCTATAGTTGCGTTTTAGCAAACTAATAAATTTTTCTTTAAATATTTATGCACATGTACAGAAAATATGTATTAAATCTCATCCGAGTATACAGGTATGCTACACATTTTATATATAAAATGCAACCTCTAAAATAGAACACTTAGATACACTTCACTATTTTACTTCACTATTAATGCTAGGGCGAAAAAATAAAATTTGACCACAAATTTCATGAAAATGTTAGCGAAGCAGATCGAAAGACCATCGTATCATCTATTATTTTTATCTGAGCACTCTTCATTCACGCGGAGAAGGGAAGTGCGAAATGGCCACAAAGCAGTAATTTGTCCGACGGCGTGTCGTGGAAAAACTTCCTTCTCCGGAATGGAAATGAGCGCGACAGGCATGCGTATATAGTACGCATCTCCGGTAGTTTTCGCGCAAATACGCGAGATATCTGTGTGCGAAACAGGCAGAGATAATATTTGCCGGGATTTGCACACGTGCCCGGCCGGCCGGACGTTATTTTCGTATCGTAATGCCTCCCTGTGCATCCTCCCCTCGCTCGTGGTACTCGCCGTACATACTATCCGTGAGAAATGACACATTTGCACGCATATGATTTCGCGACGCACGCGTCTATATTGCGCGTGTACATATATATATGTGTGTGTGTGTGTGTGTAGGCCAGAGTAAATAAGTGTGTCTATACCCTACGTCGCTGGTGTTATTCGAATTAGAGAGACTACGTGCTTGCACTCGCTGCTATTATCCGACGCTCCGTAAATTCACATTGCGCGATGCGTATTTGATTGTTCTCTGTGTATTATGTTTTGTATATCCCCTATGTGTCTGTGTGTGCGTCTTTTTCTTATATTTTCATTTATTTTAATAATAATTGGTCCAGCAGAGATAGAGATGGAATAACAATAGAGTGGACCTTATTTTAAAAAAGATCGCGATCTATTCGTTCCAAGTATATCTGCGAGTTTTTCATTTAAATATCAGATTTCACATATAAGAAGTAATTTGGGTTTTAATTCGGTCGTAAACAGGGATATTAAAGTGATATTGAGAAAAAGATTTTTCCAAAATCTATTTTTATCCATCTTAGCGATATCTTTTGTTAAAAGGTATCACAAAGGTACGTATATTTTTACATCACACAAAGGAAAAGATCTGAAAAGTTCGGTCTTCCATCTTCGATTCAAGTTACGGAAAAGTATTGGCAGGTAAATGCTGCGACCTACAGCAACTATCGCGCATTAAGATGCGCAGTCACACACGAGCTGTTGTGTCATATAATCGTTGAATAAGTTTCGGTCCAGAACGACTTTGGCCATCGGGGTTGATAAATTGTACGCCCCTCATATCCTATAGCCATTGTCTTTTTACCAAAGTTGCAAACCCACGCATGCTCACAGCATTCATCCCATCACGAAGGACTAATGATTACCATATTTTCCAGCAAACGAACAATAAAATCTAAACGTAGTAAAAAGTTTTGTGGAACACCTGCAATAGAACAGGAACACCTGCACGTTTAGAAACAGCCTGCAAGTTTAAACATGCCTAAAAAAAAAAAAAAGAAAAAAAAGGAAACATTTTAACTAAATATATATCTTAACAATTCATCTGAAACTTTTTCAAAAATTATATAAAAATAATTTTTTCACTCCTTGTATATCCAAATAAACTGGCTTGTCACCGATAATGTGGTTGAGCGATCTGTGTGATTGATTTTTGATTGTAGTTTATAAAATTCTTATGCAAATGTATAGCCTGTGTCCCATAACTCGTAATCTTAAGTTTACCGCACATGCGACAAATATTAGACAAATTTAGATGCAATTTTTTCTTTTAAGAAGATACTAGTAAATTCCCTTTTATTGAAAAAGTATTATATAAAAAAATATGAAAGTATCCACATTTTTATAATATTACGCTACTTCAATCTTATTAACCTTGTTTCGATTTCTGTATATGTTACGTCAGTGACATAAGATCTGCGGAACGGCGGCCCAAATTATTAGCATATTGCGTGTCCCGGCATACAATGCGCAGTTTATGCCGAAAATACGCTACGCCGTTAGCCGTTGTAGCTGTCATACTAAAAGAACAAACAATCGAATCGCCAGATTTCATCCTCTGCCATCGTCCCGATCGTGCAACGAGGTATCCATTTTGTCGCTAGTCGTACGACAATATGGAGTATTTGCATCGGTTTTAAGGGATGCGTTTGGAGAGGAAGCATTCGCCAGATGCATATTGTATTGTTCGGATTAATTAATTTTCACGCGTTAATTGAAGAGATAAATAACGATATAAACATAAACATTAAATAGCCACGCAATCCGAAATAATGGAGAAAATAGTTATTATCAAACGGTAATTACTAATATATTATTCATTATTACTAATTAACTTATAAAACGTTATTTTATTCATTAAATTCAAATTTGAAAAAGTTCTTAAGATATGTAGTTGAAAATTAATGAGAAATTAGTGGATTATGTTTGAAATGCATAAGAAGGATAGATAACAAAGTTTTATACTCTTGCAATTAATTTTAAGTGCATTTTATATTCTAATAGAATTTTAATCTTAGATTTAATTACCGAGATAGATAACGTTGAATATTAAAGAGATACACACACACACGCGAAGAAGATTAGTACCCAATTAAAAATTTTCGCGAAAAAAAATCAATTTTGCAAGTTGTGCTCAAAAAAATATATAATCAAGATATAAAATATAATTTATAATTTTTTTCTCTGATATATAAAACTATTTTTTTGAAATTTTTCTAATAAGAGCTACTTTAATTCATTACTTTCTCACAGACAAGAAATGTATTCAGGATATGTTCCAGATAACGATTCGAGACATATACGTAGATAATTCTATCCGTAGATAATTCGTTCCTGTCGCGCGGCGCATTCCTTAGATAGATAATTCCGTCTGCATTCGAGTTGCACTCGCGTGTACTCGCACGTGGAGTGCGCCGACTCGGAGGTACCTGGAACCGCGTTCATCTCAGGCGGCTCGCCATGTTTTTCTTGCATTGTGCTGACCATGTATGATCCCAAGAGACGAAGTATACGGACGAAGCGTTGCCAACCATAATTATAGAATAGATGCACTAGGATGGAATCGAATTAGTTAGGAATATTTTTGAATAATGCAATTTCTTTTGGCTTGATGAAAATCCATATCTTTGTTACGTTTCATTTTTTTTTTAAATCCAAATATAATTCTTTAAATTTTAATATTCTTTTAATTATTGTAAATTATTATAAAGTATAGTATATTTATAAATTTGAAAAATAGAAAAGAAATTTATATATCGTTGAAAGTTATAGAAGAAATATAATTTATTATAGAAGCGAATTATAGAAGCAGTCGATTATTGTTGAAATGCATCCTTTCATATATTTTTAAATATCTTTTACATTACAAAATTACAAAATACATACGCAATGCACTACAAAATAGAGGAACATAACAAAATATATT